AAGCACCTATTTCATACAATGGCGAGACTCCCGAAACGTGAACCCTTACAAAGCTTTCCATCTCAAAATGCCCTGTGACTGCAGGTCGTGGGCAACCGTTCCTAAGAGCCAAAGTGCATTCCATATGCAAACAGAAACAGTAGCCAAACAGCCTGTTTTAACTTGAAAAATCCACTGGAGGGGCAGAGGCTGAGAGTGGAAGAAGCAGGTGGAGGGGAAAATAAATATTTTAACTCTTTTCCCCACTAGCCATTTCCCTAATACAAAACCACCCCTGAGAAACTTCTTTCCTGCACAGGGTTTCAAATGCATGCTTGCATGGAGCTGAAGGGGACAGGAATCCATTAACATCTGCCGCACACCAAGCTCTTACTTGCTTGCAGAAGTACAGTGGTACCTCGGGTTACATACGCTTTAGATTACAGACTCAGGTTAAGAACTTTGCTTCAGGATGAGAACAGAAATCACAGCGGCAGCAGCAGGAGGCCCCAGTACCTTGGATTAAGAACTTAATTCGTTCCAGAGGTCCGTTCTTAACCTGAAACTGTTCTTAACCTGAAGCACCACTTTAGCTAATGGGGCCTCCCGCTGCCGCCGTGCAATTTCTGTTCTCATCCTGAAGCAAAGTTATTAACCCGAGGTACTATTTGTGGGTTAGCGGAGTCTGTAACCTGAAGCGTCTGTAACCTGAAGCATATGTAACCCGAGGTACAACTGTATATGACGTAACTTTAGCTATACACTGCATATGTGCTGTGTGTGTGTTTCTTTTGTTGTTTCGATACATAAAGCAGTAAGGAGGAATGCTGCAATTCCTAAAAAATCATTTGCGTGCAAAATGCACCCCCAATCTCTCACCTCGCCCCCCCCCAAAAGCAAAATAATGTTTTGTTTTTAATGCAAGTATCTCGTGAACAGAGATCACTGGAGCAAACGCACCCCAAGCTACGATCCTTCCCACTATTCTGGGTTGCGTGCAAAGTTCGCCTTACTCACGAGTAGCCCTGCTGAAGGCAATGAACTTGACTGATTGCGGGTTTGTGTGTGTGTCATTCCTTCCGACTGGAACTTCGTGGGAAGGCGCCGCTCCTCTCGCTGAATTTACCTTGTACTCCTCGGCTGCCTCGTCCGCGGGGACCACCGCGTGAGATCGGTGCTCCTTGGATCTGTCGCAGACCACGCAGATGAGAGCCTCGTCCGCCCGGCAGAACAACTTCAGCGGCTCCTGGTGCTGCCGGCACACCGGCCCCGATCCCGGGCTGCTGCTGCGGGTGGGCGGCGGGGAAGGCGCGCCCGGAGAGGCGCCGGCGAGCGAGGCCAGCTCCTTGGCCCTCTCGGCCACTTTGCCCAGCTGCGCGTTGGGCCGGAGCTTCCCGGAGCGGGACCTCTTCCTGCACTGCGGGCAGGGGAAGCAGCTGTCGCCCAGGCCGCTCCAGTAGGTGGTGATGCAGGCGCGGCAGAAGTTGTGCTCGCAGCTCAGGATCACCGGGTCGCCGAAGTAATCCAGGCAGATCGGGCAGAAGAGCTCTTCCCGCAGGGCGCGGGCGGCGGCGGCAGCGGCCATGGAGGAAGGAGGGAGAAGCAGCGCTTTTTTGCAACGGCCCCGGCTGGCACCGCCTACCTCTTTCTTGCTCTGGCGTGCAAAAATAAACAACCAGCACCCAAAACCGAAAGTAGGCGGGGGAAAAGCCAGAAGTGGGTGTGCACGATAAAAGGAAACTCGGGGAGGGGGGCCGCGTGGAAGCTAAATACGTGGCTAATTCTACACCGCTTACTGCATGAGAAATTATCTCCAAGCGGTGCACAAAGAAAAGTGAAGCAGGCGCGGGAAACTTTTGGTCTGCAGACGTCGCTGGACTACAGTTCCCACCATCCCACGGCATTGGCCCGTGCTTGCTTGCTTGCTGGGGCTGTTGGGAGTAATAGTTCAACAACACCTGGCAGGCCAAAGGTTTCCCCCCACGACTGGAGTAAGGGGCAGATCCACAAGAAGCAGAGAATCCTGGGAACTGCCGTTTCCCCCTCAAATACTTCCAATTCCTGGTACCCTTAAACTACAGTTCCCAGAATTTATTTTGGGGGGGTGGTTATGGGCTTCAAATGTGCGTGTGCTATAGTGTGTGGAGCTACCCCAAAGTAACGGGCAACTTAAAACAGCAATACTAAGCTTATATACACAAAAGTTAAAAGTAAAGGGACCCTTGACCATTAGGTCCAGTCGCGGACGACTCGGGGGTTGCAGCGCTCATCTCGCTTTATTGGCCGAGGGAGCCGGCGTACAGCTTCTGGGTCATGTGACCAGCATGACTAAGGCGCTGCTGGCGAATCAGAGCAGCGCACAGAAACGCCGTTTACCTTCCCGCTGAAGCGATACCTATTTTTCTACTTGCACTTTGACATGCTTTCGAACTGCTAGGTTGGCAGGAGCAGGGACTGAGCAATGGGAGCTCACCCCGTTGCGGGGATTCGAACCGCTGACCTTCTGATCGGCAAGTCCTAGGCTCTGGTTTAACCCACAGCACCACCCGCGTCCCCATACAAAGGTTAAGGTAAAGGTAAAGGTACCCCTGCCCGTACGGGCCAGTCTTGCCAGACTCTAGGGTTGTGCGCCCATCTCACTCAAGAGGCCGGGGGCCAGCGCTGTCCGGAGACACTTCCGGGTCACGTGGCCAGCATGACAAAGCTGCATCTGGCAAGCCAGCGCAGCACACGGAAACGCCGTTTACCTTCCCGCCAGTAAGCGGTCCCTATTTATCTACTTGCACCCGAGGGTGCTTTCGAACTGCTAGGTTGGCAGGCGCTGGGACCGAGCAGCGGGAGCGCACCCCGCCGCGGGGATTCGAACCGCCGACCTTTCGATCGGCAAGCCCTAGGCGCTGAGGCTTTTACCCACAGCGCCACCCGCGTCCCTCATACAAAGGTTACACTTATACAAATAAATAGAGATAAATCTCAATTCCTTCACCTGATCCCTTTCCCACTCCCCTGTTGCAGCAGCCTGGCTTTTGCCTATGCTTTCACCCACCCAGTTCCCCACCAGTTGCCCAAACTTACAACCACAACAGCTCACCCCCCCCCCCCCGGTCTCTCCCTCTCTGGGTTTGCTTTTTATGGACAAGGGAAGTATTGGAGGAAGCTTCCTCAGGCCGCCCGCAGCTGTGGCCCAAGCAGCGGTCAGCTGCACTCCCCAAAGCCAGTTCCAGGCTAGAGCCAGTTCGTGCAAGTTTCCCAGGGGGTCCTCAGGTTGGGGAAAGGTCACCCCCCCCCGCTAAATACTACCAGTTGCGTTTTTGGCCTTTGGCTGCTTCTGCTCCTCCAGCTGCTTTTCAGTTACAGTGGTACCTCATAGTAGATCCACTAAAATTACAGTGGTACCTCAGGTTACATACGCTTCAGGTTACATATGCTTCAGGTTACAGACTCCGCTAACCCAGAAATAGTGCTTCGAGTTAAGAACTTTGCTTCAGGATGAGAACAGAAATCGTGCTCCAGTGGCGTAGCAACAGCAGGAGGCCCCATTAGCTAAAGTGGTGCTTCAGGTTAAGAACAGTTTCAGGTTAAGAATGGACCTCCGGAACGAATTAAGTACTTAACCCGAGGTACCACTGTAATGGACATGATTAACTTAGCTCCATTAATTTCAATGGTTCTGCTCTCAGAATAATTTAGTTGGCTGTAGCCCTTGTTCTTGTTCCTTTGTTCTCGTGCTACAACAGGTGTTTGGAATCAACCTCAAGCAGTTTGCACCTGGAGGTGATGGACCAAGAGACACCCACCTGGGCTGCAGGTCTGAGTAAACCTACACTTCACTCCAGCCTTTTGCTAGAGCAACTCTTTCAAGCCTTCAAGCCTGGTCTCCCGCTAAGTCTTGTTAAGCAGTGAGCTGCCTATGATCCTAATCACCTAGGTTGCATCTTGAACTTTTAGGGGTGCCTGAGATGGACATCTCTATTGGGGGGGGGGAGGTTACGGCCGCTCTCTTTCCCCGTACACCTCTTTCACAATTTGCAGCCCTTAATCTCTCCTGCCGGGGTCATTAAGCCCATGTTTTGCATGTTCAAAATCCACGTTGCACGTTCAAAAATGCAATGGTAAGAAAGACTTAAAAGGAATTGACTTAAAAGGAAGATGTAATTCCAAACATTATTTTACACTTCATCTTGGCATGAAAGCCTCTTAAATCTGCATAGTTAACCTTGCCGGTGTATACGTTCTCAACTCTCTGCATTATCACAAGGAGTGAAAAGGAAAGAAAATTAATTTAGACAGCCTTTGGTTTTACTACAAAGACCAAATTTCTTTCTTTAAAATGAAATAAAATTGATGGGACAACAAGCTCAGGCGTTCAAATCCTTTTCCGAATGGTGTGTGCCAACAGTCTCTGGAGTGCATTCGCATGGATAAAATTAGTGTAGAAAGCAGATAGCCACAGATGAAGACTTTTCCACAATCACAGCAACACTGTTGTGTGAATTACTTGTGGGTAGCTGCGGCTTCCTCCATGGGCAGCCTGGCTCACATATTTATTCTCACTGTGTGAATGCATCCCATGGAAGAGTGAGAACAAGTTGCCTGGAGAAGGTTTTGAACAGCTGAACCCATCAAGCATACTGTGTGTGGTTATCCTGTGACACAAGATTGACCCTCGGTGGTTGGGTAAGGGCATGCTGTAATGGTTCCACAGCTTCTGCAGCGGTAAAGGCTGGCATTGAACCTTGTATACCAGTATACCTGAAGGAGCGTCTCCACCCCCATCGTTCTGCCCGGATGCTGAGGTCCAGCGCCAAGGGCCTTCTGGCGGTTCCCTCACTGCGAGAAGCAAAGCTACAGGGAACCAGGCAGAGGGCCTTCTCGGTAGTGGCGCCCGCCCTGTGGAACGCCCTCCCATCAGATGTCAAAGAGATAAACAACAACCTGACATTCAGAAGACATCTTAAGGCAGCCCTGTTTAGGGAAGTTTTTAACGTGTGATATTTTACTGTATTTTTGGTTTTTGTGGAAGCTGCCCAGAGTGGCTGGGGAAACCCAGCCAGATGGGCGGGGTACAAATAATAAATTATTGTTGTTGTTGTTGTTGGCGATAAAATATCCCTTCTCTAAACTTGTGAAGGCGGCATGTCAGCCCATGGAGGCTTCTGGAGTCCAGCTGGTGACCCCAAGTGTTCAAAATCAAGTCAGTGTGCCGACCCAACGCCACCCTTCATCTTGCCGGAAGACAGGCTCCATCGCAGAACTGGGTGTCTCAGAACCCCACAGAGCTTCCAACTTCTTTTCCCAGTCTTCCATATCTTCTCATTTAATCCACCTAAGGCTAATTCTGCCAGTCCTCACTACTCAAGTGGTTCAGGAGACAATCCCTGCCTCACAGGCATCTTCTGGAGGGCTGACTTGGCCTGTTCTATTTGCTCCAGCTCGGAATGCAGCAAGGAAATCTGTGACAAAAAAGGAGAAATTTAAACACGCAGATGAAGTATCACTGCTACCAGTCAGATAAGGAGGGTTGGCTGTTACTAATACAGTGGTACCTCGGGTTACATACGCTTCAGGTTACAGACTCCACTAACCCAGAAATAATACCTTGGGATAAGAACTTTCCTTCAGGATGAGAACAGAAATCGCGCCGTGGTGGCACGGCAGCAGCAGGAGGCCCCATTAGCTAAAGTGGTGCTTCAGGTTAAGAACAGTTTCAGGTTAAGAACGGACCTCCGGAACGAATTACGTACGTAACCAGAGGTACCACTGTACAGACTTACTTTCCCACAAGTTCATACCCAACGGATGTCACAAACACGTATTTATGCTATTTCGTTTGCTGAAACTTGCAGTATAATCCTATAGACATCAGCCCCAAGAAACAGTTTATGGTTGAATAGCAAAGCACAGGACAGATATACTATTATAACAGAAGAAAATTATAATGAGGGCACTGAGGCTCCATACCCTTTCCACAGCAAAAAGAGTGATACTGATGAATTGGAAAAATAAAAATGCGGCTCCCTTCTATGATTGAAGACTTATACAAACTCGCAACATATGAGCAACTTGCAAATAAATGCAGACTTGCCATGGACAAATTCAATGATATTTGGAATCCATTCTTACACCAGGTTAAGATCTGGTGAAGTACAATAACAACCTTGTAAAGTATACAGTTTGGGGTTTTTCCCCCTCCCCCCTTTACTTTCCCTTCTACACGGGGGCTGTTTCTATTTCTCTTTCTCTCTCTTTTATTTACATCTTGCCATGTTTAGTGCACATATAACTATGTACTTTTTGAACCTTCAATAAAGATGTTAAAAGAAAAAGAAAATTATAATAAGGAATTATTATTTTTTTGTCGAAACCCTAAAATGAAAGGGGGAAAAAAGTACTGTTTTCCAGAACAAAAATGAAGTATTTCGAAAATACCCATATGCTTTTTTTGGTGACACTCAAAAGGTTTGTTTCTCTCCAACCAAACCATAGTACCATTTGCAGTTTCGTTCGGCGAAAATAAAGTCACGAGTTTGGGATCAGACAATGCAATAAAGTTTGTTACAATCCAGAGCAAAGAAGCAACTTTTGAGCCACACAATCCAGATTGCCACTTGCTCATGTTGCACAATTAAACATTAGGTAAAGGGACCCCTGACCATTAGGTCCAGTCGTGGCCGACTCTGGGGTTGCGGCGCTCATCTCGCTTTATTGGCTGAGGGAGCCGGCGTACAGCTTCCGGTTATGTGGCCAGCATGACTAAGCCACTTCTGGCGAACCAGAGCAGCGCACGGAAACACCGTTTACCTTCCCACTGGAGATGTACCTATTTATCTACTTGCACTTTGAGGTGCTTTCGAACTGCTAGGTTGGCAGGAGCAGGGACCGAGCAACGGGAGCTCACCCCGTCGCAGGGATTCGAACTGCCGACCTTCTGATTGGCAAGTCCTAGGCTCTGTGGTTTAACCCGCAGCGCCACCCAAGTCCCACAATTTACCCCCACAACATTACCTGTTGTTTAATGTGGTGTGCAACCATAGCCACCTCCCATAGCAGTTAATACCTTTTGCTGGTGATCCAGTTTGGCTTTTGGGGAGACCTGCTCCTGATATCTGGCCCCTTGAACCCGTACGGTGAGATCTGCCAGCTGCCGCTCCAGTTTCTTTTGCCGAGATGCAAATTTGAGGAGCTCCTTTTGGGGATCAACCAATCCCTATGGTGAGAGAAGAGTCACGGGTTCAATGCATGATATACATTTAAAAGAACCTCCTTCTAGACTCCATTGAAGTTACTCCCTGAAAGGTGGCCATAATCTTCCCACAATGCATTTCACATGGTCACCACTGTTACAAGAATTTTAAGGTCTCAAATGTAGAATACAGTGGTGCCTCGCAAGACGAAATTAATTCGTTCCGCAAGTTTTTTCTTCTTGCGAGTTTTTCGTCTTGCGATGCACGGTTTCCCATAGGAATGCATTGAAAATCAATTAATGCGTTCCTATGGAAACCGACTTCAGACCAGGTCCGGGGACAATCTGTCCCCCGACCTCTTCTGAAGGCTGGGGGGGCGAAAGTCTTTGCTCCCCCCCCCACGGCAGCATTTAAAATCGCCCCGGACAGCGGAGGACTTCTCCGCTGTCCGGGGCGATTTAAAAGCCCCTGGGAAGGCCAGGCAGGGGGGAGCATAAGACTTGCCCCCGCCAGCCTTCAGAAGAGGTCCTTCTGAGGCTGGGCGGGGGGCAAAAGTCTTGTAAAAAGCCGCTCTCCCGGGAGGGCCTTTTAAAGGCAGGCAGGCAAGGGGGGACAAAGACTTTTTGCCCCCCGCCAGCCTTCAGAAGAGGTCCAGGACCCCTTCCTGAAGGCTGGCGGGGGGCAAAAGTCTTTGTCCCCCCTGTTCTGCCTTCCCAGGGGCTTTTAATACCCCCGGGACCAGCGGAGAAGTCCTCCGCTGTCCGGGCGCGATTTTAAAATGCTGCGTCCCGGGGGAGCAAAGACCTTTCCGCCCCCCTGGGAAGGAAGGCAGGGGGAGACAAAGACTATTTGCCCCCCGCCCGCCTTGCAGAAGAGGTCCTGGACCTCTTCTGAAGGCTGGCGGGGGGCGAAAATCTTTGTCCCCCCTGCCTGCCTGCCTGCCTTTAAAAGCCCTCTCCCGGGCTTTTTTCTCACTTAAAAGCCGTCGGGGAGAGCGGAGCGTTCTCCGCTCTCCCGGGAAGGCAGGCAGGCGGGAGCAAAGTCTTTCGCCCCCCGCCCGCCTTTAGAAGAGGACCAGGACCTCTTCTGAAGGCGGGCGGGGGGCGAAAGTCTTTGCTCCCCCCCCCGCCTGCCTTCAAAAGCCGTCGGGGAGAGCGGAGCGTTCTCCGCTCTCCCGGGAAGGCAGGCAGGCGGGAACAAAGTCTTTCGCCCCCCGCCCGCCTTTAGAAGAGGTCCAGGACCTCTTCTGAAGGCGGGCGGGGGGGCGAAAGTCTTTGCTCCCCCCCCCCGCCTGCCTTCAAAAGCCGTCGGGGAGAGCTGAGCGTTCTCCGCTCTCCCGGGAAGGCAGGCAGGCGGGAGCAAAGTCTTTCGCCCCCCGCCCGCCTTCAGAAGAGGTCCAGGACCTCTTCTGAAGGCGGGCGGGGGGCGAAAGTCTTTGCTCCCCCCCCCGCCTGCCTTCAAAAAGCCGTCGGGGAGAGCGGAGCGTTCTCCGCTCTCCCGGGAAGGCAGGCAGCCGGGAGCAAAGTCTTTCGCCCCCCGCCCGCCTTCAGAAGAGGTCCAGGACCTCTTCTGAAGGCGGGCGGGGGGCGAAAGTCTTTGCTCCCCCCCCCGCCTGCCTTCAAAAGCCGTCGGGGAGAGCGGAGCGTTCTCCGCTCTCCCGGGAAGGCAGGCAGGCGGGAGCAAAGTCTTTCGCCCCCCGCCCGCCTTTAGAAGAGGTCCAGGACCTCTTCTGAAGGCGGGCGGGGGGCGAAAGTCTTTGCTCCCCCCCGCCTGCCTTCAAAAGCCGTCGGGGAGAGCTGAGTGTTCTCCGCTCTCCCGGGAAGGCAGGCAGGCGGGAGCAAAGTCTTTCGCCCCCCGCCCGCCTTTAGAAGAGGTCCAGGACCTCTTCTGAAGGCGGGCGGGGGGCGAAAGTCTTTGCTCCCCCCCCCCGCCTGCCTTCAAAAGCCGTCGGGGAGAGCTGAGCGTTCTCCGCTCTCCCGGGAAGGCAGGCCGGCGGGAGCAAAGTCTTTCGCCCCCCGCCCGCCTTCAGAAGAGGTCCAGGACCTCTTCTGAAGGCGGGCGAGGGGCGAAAGACTTTGCTCCCCCGGGACGGCAGCGTTTTAAAATCGCCCCGGACAGCGGAGAAGTCCCCCGCTGTCCCGGGGTTTTTTAAAAACCTCTCCGCCCCCCTGCCAGGCTTCGGAGCAGCCTTCCGAAGCCTGGCGGCGGGAGGAGGTCCGAGGACAGTGGGGAAGACGCGCTTCCCCGCTGTCCCGGAGATTTCCCTATGGGCTGTCGTCTTGCGAAGCAAGCCCATAGGGAAATTCGTTTTGCGAAGCGCCTCCAAAACGGAAAACCCTTTCGTCTAGCGGGTTTTCCGTCTTGCGAGGCGTTCGTCTTGCGGGGTACCACTGTATTCATAAATGCACACATATCTAAATATATGAAACCATGTGTCTGAAATAGTACAGAAGAGCAATTCTGATGCCATTTTTACTCTCCAAATGACCTCAAATGTTCCTCTACAATAAAGGTAAAGGTACCCCTGCCCGTACGGACCAGTCTTGCCAGACTCTAGGGTTGTACGCTCATCTCACTCTAGAGGCCGGGAGCCAGCGCTGTCCGCAGACACTTCCGGGTCACGTGGCCAGCATGACAAGCTGCATCTGGCAAGCCAGCGCAGCACACGGAACGCCGTTTACCTTCCCGCTAGTAAGCGGTCCCTATTTATCTACTTACACCCGGGGGTGCTTTCGAACTGCTAGGTTGGCAGGCGCTGGGACCAAGCGACGGGAGCGCACCCCGCCGCGGGGATTCGAACCGCCGACCTTTCGATCGGCAAGTCCTAGGCGCTGAGGCTTTTACCCACAGCGCCACCCGCGTCCGGTCCTCTACAATAAGGGAGGCAAATAGGGAAAGCTTTCCCATTGTCTTTTGGCTTGCAAATCCTGCCTTAAGGGCATATTTGTGTATGAATAGGGTGAGCCTATGAATAATAATAAAAAATAAAAAATAAATAAAATAAAATAAATGTTATTTATATCCCGCCCTCCCCAGCCGAAGCCAGGCTCAGAGCAGCTAACAACAATAAAATAGTACAACCAGATTCAGGATCTAAAAGTATTTACCATCACAAAAGAATGGTCAAACTGCCCAGGTAATGCAATTAGTGACCATTATCAGGTCTCCTGGCAGGCAGGATTTCTGCTGTAGATGGCCTCCTTCTGTGATGTATGTATGATGTTTCAGGGGGTGGTGGTCTTGGGCTACAGGGTGGGCAATTTCAAAAGTCTATATAGGGGCTTGTGCACCATTGTTCAGGGTTCTCAACCCTCCTGCGAGTGGTGACCCTATTGCAACAGTTCCTTGATAAAAATCAGGCTTACTAGCCGCTTTGCTTCTTAATATAATTCTGTTTGGCCTCTGTTTCCTCCTACCAATAGGGAACCCACTTAAGGACTCTATATGGGCTCCGGATTACCCAATAAGGGAAAGGGAGCAGGTTTTTTTTCTTATAACACCACCTTTCTTTGGTTTCCTTATGAACCTGTCTCCTTGAACCAAGCAGTTGCCCCAACTTGGGTCTTACCTGCAGATCCACATAGATGGCAGTGTGCTCATGCCCCTTCGCAGCCACGCAACTCGCAGGTAGTTCTGCTCCCTTGATACCTGAGAGGAGTCTCAGAGTTCCAGCCAAGGACAAAGTCTGCAGGGGTTCTCGGTAGGTCTCATATACGCCACGGGGAACTGCCTCTGGGCAAACCAGATACACTAGGGAGACAGAGAGATTAAAAAATACAGGCACTCTCCTCAGACAATCAAAGGTACCAGCCAATTGGAGGGAGGGGGCACCAGTTATACCCCCTATCACAGGCTTCCCCAAATTCGGCCCTCCACTGGTCCTGTTAGCTAGGGATGATGGGAGTTGTAGTCCCAAAACCTCTGGAGGGCCGAGTTTGGGGGTACCTGCTCTATCAGGAGTGAGGGAACTATTTTTCTATCCCAGTGACCATATTTTCTTAGTAAGCCCTTGTGCAAAATGAACAGTTCTCCACACAGCAGACATCTTAAGAGGTCTTACCTGTCGGCCGAGCTTTGGTCAGCTGGTAAGTTGCCCTCAGGGCACGGACGGCTCTAACGACTTCCTGTACTAACAGGAAGTTTGCCTCTTCATCAGGATGACACCAGTGAGCCTAGAAATGTGGAGGAGGGGGAAACTGTCATGCTTATGATAATATTTTATTCTCTTGCTAATTATGCTGTTTCAAATGCGCATTTTATATTTAACTTCACTTAGCAATGTTTCCTTTGGAATGTTTAAGATTTTTAAAAAACTTTGTTTGTGTTAAATATGTATTCTGTAGCTGACCTCCTTTGTAATGTTTTATTTTGAAATCTTTAAGATAATATTTTAGTTTCCTGTTAATTATGTTTCTTTGACTGTATATGCTATATTTGACTTTCTTCAGCAATGTTTGATTCTGGATTGTTTTATTGATGTTTAATATGCTGTAAACCGCTTTGAGATTTTTCTTAAAAATATAAGGCGGTATACAAATGGGGGGGGGGGCGACTTGAAAAGATCCTTCTTTCCTTGTAGAATTAGAACCATGCCTGCACCATACCTTTAAAGTTCACTATTGTATTTCGTATTTAGTTCGTGAAACTTGTATATTGTAGAAAACCTTACGCCAATTTAAGTGTCATGCCTTTCCCCAAAGAATTGTGGGAGCAGCAGTTTATAAATGGTGCTGAGACTTGTTAGGAGATGCCTATTCCCCTCACAGAGTTACAATTCTCAGAGTGGTTTAATTATCCAGTCCCTTTCCCAGGGAACTCTGGGAATAACTGTTCCAGTTTGTGAACGCTTTTCAGAAGCCGAACATCCAATGCGGCTGTTGGCTATTGTTTCCGGGGCGCCTGCACCAATCGGAAGCTGTGCCTTGGTTTTTGAACATTTTGGAAGACAAATGGACTTCCGGAACTGATTAAGTTTGGCGCTTATGTTTTTGCTATTTATTTTGTGTTTTTGCTTTTGAGGCTTTTTCAATTTATTTGTTTTCGTGACTGTGTGGAACCCAGTTCAGCTACTGATTGATTGATTGATTGACTGATAGATTGTGTGACTGTGGAAATGGATAAAAGTCCCCCATCCAAACAATGACTATCATCAGTGCAGGTAAGATTTTTTATTATTATTATTATCATCATCATTTACAATACTGTCTTATTTATGTTATAGGACAGTACATTGATTATTGCTTTCATTTTATGGATCAATGGTGTCGTTAGATAATAAAATTCATGTTAAATCGCTGTTTTAGGGGTTGTTTTTAAAAGTCTTGAAGGGCATTACTTTCTATGGGAAAGCCCGCCTTGGTTTGGAACGCTTTGGTTTTGGAACGGACTTCCGGAACGGATTAAGTTTGAGAACCAAGGTACCACCAGGCTTATGAAGTAAACTTGTACAAGCACTTATGGAAAATGCACATGTGAGCCCTGAATCACTTTGAAATGCCCCCCCCCCATTTTAACACATTTCCTTCTTTCAGGTCCCCGGAAACGCCCTCACCAGTTGCTCCGCACTGGGATATCTGGCCACGCAGATACTGGGAGGAGACTGGGAGCCGATCCTGGGGAGGCGCTGCCACAGTTCCTCTGTGAGGAAAGGCATAAAGGGAGAAAGGAGGCGTAGAGCCACGTCCGCACAACTGTGCAAGGTCCGACGGGTGGAGAGTAGCCGAGATGGATCCCCGCTCCTCAATATGGGCTTCACAGACTCCTGTGGATGAAAAACAGGCGTGTTACCATCGTCTGGGAAGAGAGATGCTTTCTGAAGATCCAACTCCATGCCAGGGTTGGGAAGCTGCGGCCCTTCAGATGTTGACGGACTACAACTCCCATCGCTCCTGATCGTCATCCAGGCTACCTGGAGCTAATAGGAGTTGTAGTCCCGTAATATACTAAGGGCCTCATGAAGCATCTGTAAATGGTTCAGCATGGGGGTGGGGGAATATTTTCCTTTACTTTGAGGTAACCTGTTGGAGGGCACATGCGAGCAATGGGTGGGAAGAGAGCCAAAAAAAAAAAGGATGAGCCTGCTGGATCAGGCCAATGGCTAATCTAGTCCAGCATCCTTTTCTCATCGTGGCCGACCACATGCCTGTGGGAAACCTGCACCCGGAGAACGGGGCCTTCTCTGCAGCAGCTCCCCGTCTGTGGAATGCTCTCCCCAGGGAAGTTCGCCTGGCGCCTTCGTTATACACCTTTAGGCGCCAGGCAAAAACGTTCCTTTTTAACTAGGCCTTTGGTTGACCTGACTGACATCCTATACTCTTTAAAAATGTGACTATTTGAGTGGGTGGGTGTGTTACTAGGTTATTGTTTTTATTTTTATTTTATATATAGTGATCTTTTCTGTGAACCGCCCTGAGACCACTATATATTTTATATATAGTGATCTTTTCTGTGAACCGCCCTGAGACCTCCAGGTATAGGGCGGTATATAAATAATAATAATAATAATAATAATAATAATAATAATAATAATAATAATACAGTGGTACCTCGGGTTAAGAACTTAATTCGTTCTGAAGGTCCGTTCTTAACCTGAAACTGTTCTTAACCTGAAGCACCACTTTAGCTAATGGGGCCTCCTGCTGCCGCTACACCGCTGCTGCGTGATTTCTGTTTTCATCCTGAAGCAAAGTTCTTAACCTGAGGTACTATTTTTGGGTTAGCGGAGTCTGTAACCTGAAGCATCTGTAACCTGAAGTGTCTGTAACCCGAGGTATAATAATAATAATAAGCTGAACATGAGTGCAATAGCACTCTGCCACTCCCAACATCCTATTCTTTCTCTTTCTGCACTCCATATTCTCTTTCTGTCGCCACCTCTCTCTCTCTCTCTTTCTCCATGCCCCCTTTTCCCCACAATTAACCTTGCCATCCACAATAAATCAACCCCTGGTTCAGTGTAAAGAGCACCCAGATTACTCAAAGGCTCACCTCCGGTGAAAAATCTCACAGAAAATCTGAGAACCAAAATCATATTCCCTAGACCAGCTCCTCTCAACCTGTGGGTCCCCAGATGTTGTTGAACTACAACTCCCATCACCCCTAGCTAGCAAGGCCAGAGCTCAGGGATGATGGGAGTTGTAGTCCAACATCATCTGGGGACCCACAGGTCGAGAACCACTGCCCTAGACGATGCCCACCTGGATCTTGGCCTGCAAGTTTTTCACTGCTCAGGCTGCAACCTAGTCTTGCCCATCTCACTCCCAGAGAGGTGGTAGGAATCTGAACCCACAGGCAGAGCTCACCAAGTAGTTATCGCAGAAATCGTGCAGCCAGAAAAGATGGACCGAGGACGCGACAGAATGCAGTTCGTATCCTTCAAACCTCCGGGCACAATCTTCCGCTGTGTGGTAGAGACGACTGAGGATCCAGCGCTCCATTGGGGAGCTAGGGAAGACCTGGAGGAAGAGGCAAATGAGTGGCAGAAGTATTTCAGTGTATTAAAATTTCTACCCCACCTTTTTTCTCTCATGCAACTCAAGACAGAGGCCATAAATCCCTGCATATTTTACATAAACTAAACCATTCAGTATTCCATTATTATGTCCATCAAAACCTATTTACACTGTTGAATTTATCTTAACGTTTTCAATTGTACACAATCCCCCCCCCTATATATTCAATAAACATTTTCCAATCTTCTCTAAACGTATTTTCTGCTTGTTCTCTTATTCTATATCAGGGGTCAGCAAACTTTTTCAGCAGGGCACTGGTCCACTGTCCCTCAGACCTTGTGGGAGGCCAGACTATATTTTTTGGGGGGGAATGAACGAATTCCTACGCCCCAAAATAACTCAGAGATGCATTTTAAATAAAAGGGCACATTCTACTCATGTAAAAACACGCTGATTCCCGGACCGTCCACAGACCAGATTAAGAAGGCGATTGGGGGGATCTGGCCCCTGAGCCTTAGTTTGCCTACCCATGTTCTGTATATTAAGTCCGCGAGCTGCACGTATTCCATCAGTTTAAGTTGCCATTCTTCTTTAGTTGGGACCTCGCTCATTTTCCATTTTGGGGCTAACAAAACACAAGCCGCAGTAGCGGCAAACATTAAAAACTTTGCCCAGTGGAACAGACTTTTCAGCCAACGTGTCTAGGATTCGGCTGTCAGTGTGGCAGACGAGTGCAGAAAATGCTTACTAGTCAAATCCTAGGTGTGCTGAAAGGTTAAGGAGACGTCTGTTTCTTCGGGAGACCTCTATTCTGCCATCTACGTTTTACACAGCACAAAGACAGACTGACAGACGTTAACATATTCTGTAAGCAAATCACCCCTTTCCCTGCATACACACATTCCCAGTTACCTTCTCTGGCTCCAGTGGGGTAAATCCTTCTCCCAAGGCTCCCAAAGTAAACTTCAGGGCATTCCACACTTTGTTGCAGAAACGACTGGCGCTCTCCACCGCAGCCACGTCGAGGTTAATGCCGTCGCCTGAGGAAGGGCGTGCATGTGATGTTAAGGGCCTCAGTTTCCAAGTCGGTCACATCCCCGTACCTACGGGACCGCCTCTCCCGGTATGCCCTACGGAGAGCCTCAAGGTTCTTAGCAACCTTGAGGCTCTCTGTGCCTACAATAGCAACACCCTAAGGAAGTTAGATTAGCTTCAACCAGAGCCAGGGCCTTTTCAACACTGGCTCCAGCCTGGTGGAACGCTCTGTCTCATGAGACCAGGGCCCTGCGGGATCTGATTTCTTTCCGTAGGGCCTGTAAGACAGAGTTGTTCCGCCTGGCCTTTGGCTTAGAATCAATTTGACTCCCTCCCCCTCTTTCTTTTTCCTTTCTCCTCCTGTGATGAGGCTGCGCTTTAATGTTTCAATATTTTAATGTTGTATTTTAATCTTGTTTTTAAGTTGTATTCATTCAACTTGTTTTATTATTGCATGTTAGCCACCCTGAGCCTGGCCTTGGCTGGGTAGGGCGGGGTATAAATAATAATAATAATAATAATAATAATAATAATAATTATATATATTATATATATATTATTAAAACTGGTTACAATGCTAAACAGAAACACGTGAAGCTGCCTCTTATTGAGCCAGATCACTGGGTCCATCTCGCTTAGTTCTGTCTGCCAATGACTGGCATCTCCTTGTCAGGCAGGGATCTCTCCCAGTCACAGCTGGAAATGCCAGGAACTGAAGCCACTTCTCCTTTGGTTATTTCATGGACAGGGTCCCCCAGAAAATAAAGGGGAACATTCCAACTTCTCACCTTGGGCAGAATAGGAGCAGAGAGCGAACCTGAGGGCATCGGTTCCACATTCGGGAATTCCTTGAGGAAAATCTCGCTGCTGGAAAGGGACAATGATAGGAGGAGGTGAGAACACACAGGAACCCCAAAAAACAAAAGGGTGAGTGGGTCCGGCTGGAGGGCGGGGTGAGGTGTGGGGAGGAACCGACCTGGCCTTCCATAGCAATGGCAACCTCTCTCGGGTCCAGATTGCTATTTTGAAGCTTCTCCTGTAGCACCTGAAAACAATAAATAATAATAATAAGAGGGAAACTTCAGGGAGAGGAGGAGCCAGAGATAAAGGGAAATCATGACTGGCTTTCCAGGGTTTTCCCTGCTTAGGGCTATACCATATACACAGAACCTTAGGCAGCATATAACATCACAAGAATTTCAGCATTTTTAACTTTCTTTTTAAAGCAGGTTTCTAAACCTCCTAGCTATGGATACAGTGGAACCTCGGAAGCCGAACGCCTTCGAACTTGAATGTTTTGGCTCCCGAACGATCTAAAACCGGTAGCGATTGTTTTCAAATGATTTTTGGAAGCTGCATGTAAGGCACGGCTTCTTATTGGCTGCAGGACACTCAGCAAACTCTGGGGCTCCCTAAAAATGATAACGGAGGGCAGTTTTTTACACTGTGAGTAGATTGCAGTCTCTTGGGAGTTGGACATACCTGGTATAAGGAAACCTTTTATTAGTTACTTTTGATGGCATTATCATAATGACATGTGGTATAATAAGAAAAATACTAGGGCCACAGTCCTTTACAAGAGCAGACAACGCAGTGGGATGTCAAGGTCTACAGAGGGTGAAGAGAAAGACTTGTTCCAATTTTCTGAACAGTTAAGTACCTGCAAGGGAGCACCATAAATAACATCCAAAGGGTTGATCACATTCCCAAGAGATTTGCTCATCTTTCTGCCATGAGCATCACGGACCATTGAGTGAAGGGAAACCTGAAAGGGAGAGAGACAGGAAATGTGTTATGTCTTCAAAACTCTGCAAAGAGCACCAACAGGATATCGAGGAAAAGCAAGGGCAACCCATACTATAAAATAACAACCATGGGAAGGCACAAGGAACACAAGGAATACAGCCTTGTGTTGTTATTTGAATTGGTAGATTCGTGAGACTTCGGTCTGTACGCTTACAAATCACAGGCTACAGTGGTTCTCTTTTCTGAAACAGCTACAGTTTCTCAAGATCACAAACTGCTGCATGTTAAAAAGCAGAGACATCACCTTGCCAACAAAGGCCCGTATAGTTAAAGCCATGGTTTTCCCAGTAGTGATGTATGGAAGTGAGAGCTGGACCATAAAGAAGGCTGATCGCCGAAGAATTGATGCTTTTGAATTTTGGTGCTGGAGGAGACACTTGAGAGTCCCATGGACTGCAAGAAGATCAAACGCATCCATTCTTAAGGAAATCAGCCCTGAGTGCTCACTGGAAGGACAGATCCTGAAGCTGAGGCTCCAATACTTTGGCCACCTCATGAGAAGAGAAGACTCCCTCGGAAAGACCCTGATGTTGGGAAAGATGGAGGGCACAAGGAGAAGGGGACGACAGAGAACGAGATGGTTGGACAGTGTTCTCGAAGCTACCAGCATGAGTTTGACCAAACTGTGGGAGGCAGAGTGCCTGGCGTGCTCTGGTCCATGGGGTCACAAAGAGTCGGACACGACTAAACGACAACACAGTAGTTCTCTTTTCTGAAACAGCTACAGTTTCTCAAGATCACAAACTGCTGCATGTTATCCCTAGTCCAAAGATAGGAACTCTGTGGCAGCAGCGTTGGGATGGGGGTGGCAGGAGCAGCAGAGCAGGGTGGCGTTTCCTGTTTCACCTCAAGTGGCCAAATGGGCTGCGCTGCTCCTGCCCATGGCTGCCCAAATACTGTTGGGATTTTCGTCAGCCCCCGCTGGCATAACGATGGGGGTTGTAACACAACGATTGGAGGGCCACTGGCTTCCTATCCATGCCCTGTATGCACTACATTTCTTCAAATAGAACACACAGCAGGAGAGTCTAAAAGGCAATTCTAGCCCCACCATGATGACCCAGGAGAACAGAAGCACGATAAACACGATAATTCAGGTTAAAGCAAGGGGTGGGGATTAATCAAAATAAAATAAAAAACCTGGCCGCCTGGGAATGAAGTTCTTATCACGCCAATTTTAAGACTCAGGAGGACAGAAAGGTAGAGTACTGGAATCCAGACAGAACTAAGTGGATTGACAAGGATTACTTTAAAAATAGTATTTTTTAAATGCAGGTTGCGATGAACCAATTGCAAGGACCTCTTCAACAGCTGTGCTCACATATCCTGCGTTGATAATCAGGAAGTACATTACAGTGGTACCTCGGGTTAAGTACTTAATTCGTTCTGGAGGTCTGTACTTAACCTGAAACTGTTCTTAACCTGAAGCACCACTTTAGCTAATGGGGCCTTCTGCTGCCGCTGCGCCACCGGAGCCCAATTTCTGTTCTCATCCTGAAGCAAAGTTCTTAACCTGAAGCACTATTTCTGGGTTAGCGGCATCTGTAACCTGAAGCATATGTAACCCGAAGCGTATGTAACCTGAGGTACCACTGTATAAGTTGTGGATAAATAGTTAAGGCTCACACTTTGCTTCTCTCAGCCTCATGGATCTTCTCGTAATGCCCTCCAGGAACCGAAGTACAGAATTTCTAGCATCTAATCCATACCTCAGAAAAAGGTAGCTCTCCGGTCAACTGCTTTCCCCAGCATCACCATCCGGGCCACCCAGAAGAAGAGAAGGTCACTCCCAGTCTCCAAAAGGCTATTGGGGTAGAACTGCTGGAGATCTTCTGTCTGCAGGGGGACGAAGGCAGGACCAGTGGCGTCAGCACACGCCCCACATCTGGGCTCGCCATATTTCAAAAAGGAACATTCCTGACACCCCCGAAGTTGTTGAGCTTTTCTTTTACTGCCCCGAACTGGGACATTTTGCAGGGTATTATGACTAACCGCCACCCCTGGAGGAGGAGATCTGCTGGCTTTCCCGTCGCAAGACTGTGACACTGCCGGGCAATCGCCGGCCAGCACATCTGGATGCCCACTCTGCCCAGCTCCGAAAGGAAACTTTTTTTAAAAAAAATGAAATGCAAAGAAACTCTGGAAACACCCCCCCCCACCAGTGAAAATGGCCAAGCTCATGGTGGCAGTGCCTTCCTCCCTTCCCCACCCTCCTTCCTCTCTCCCCCAACTCCCCAGCCAAGGGAAGGGACCTCTTGTCACTTCCACTGCTGCTGGGGTACAGCCTCTCCAATAATAATAATAATAATAATAATAATAATAATAACAATAATAATAAATTATTATTTAAAAACCAACAAAAACTGAAAGAAACTCTGGTTTGCCATACGTCCCAGAAATTCCTGACCTCCCTTAAGATTTGAAAATTCCCCCCAGACATCATTTTAGGCATCCAATTTCCGTGCATGCCCGGAATTTTCCAGACGTATGGCAAGCCTACCTACTTCAAACCTGTAACAGCCCCTCCATTCCTCCTGCCTCCCTGCTGTCTCCCTGTTTGTGTACCAATCTCATGAGAAAGAGAACGTTTAGTGAAGCTGGATGTTTGATATGGACCTGGGAGAACTAGAGCCAGCAACTCACCAAATAGCCTCGAAACAACCACTTAAGTCTTAGTGCCCCATTTAGAAAATGGGAGGAGTATTAACCTAACTCAAAAGCATATTGCAAAGACGAGCTTAAAGTCTACAAGTGCTCAGCTAAAAACCCAAAACCAAACCTCTATCTGTGGTGCAAAAAGTTAATCATACAGAGGACTGATCACAAGAAGACTGCTGTCATGACTCCCATTAAAAATATCCTGCCTGCTGCTCATGCTTCACCCATGGCAAGTGAACAAGAAGCCATACATGCTACCTCCAAGGCAGGGCTGGAGATGCTGGACTCCAACTCCCATCATCCCTCATCATTGGCTATGCTGGCTAGGACTGATGGGAGTTTGAGGTCATGAGGATGTATGCCTGGGGTTGCTGTAAGGGGAGAAGTAAGTATGGCATCCCCCATTACGCTACCCACTGGCCGGCTTCTTCTTGGCCAGGGGGGGGTGAACATGTGGCTCTTCAGCTCCTTGTCCCTCCCAGTTCTACTCACCTTATGGGGCCAGCCCAGCGCAGCGAAAGGGAAAAGTCCGGATGAGAACCAAGTGTCCAGGACATCGGCATCTGGTGAAAACAAAAAACACAATGTGAATGTTTTATTCAAAAGGCCCAGGGTGCCTGATCTGGAGGAGTTTAAAGGCCCTCCAGTCCCCATCCCAAAGTCCCAATCCAGACTGTCCCCCCACCCCATCTGCAGTGTATAATAAAATAATAATAATAATAATAATAATAATAATAATAATAATAATGTATTTATATCCCACCCATCTGGCTGGGTTCCCCAGCCACTCTGGGCAGCTCCCAACAGAATATTAAAAATACAATAAAACATCAGACGTTAAAAACTTCATACATTGAAAACTTCCCTAAACAGGGCTGCCTTCAGATGTCTTCTAAAAGTCAGATAGTTGTTTATTTCCTTGACATTTGATGGGAGGGCGTTCCACAGGGCGGGTGCCACCACCGAGAAGGTCCTCTGCATGGTTTCCTGTAACTTGGCTTCTCGCAGTGAGGGAACCGCGAGAAGGCCCTCAGCACTGGACCTCAGTGTCCAGGCTGAACGATGTGGGTGGAGACGCTCCTTCAGGTATACCGGGTTGAGGCCATGTATGATTCATAGAAGGCTTCCTTATAGGAATGCGCAGAGTAAATGTAAGCAATTTCTCAAGGTGGCGGGGATGGAAAGGAAAAGTAGGGATGTGTGACGGAGAACGACGTTGGCTCAGTTCCATCACAAAGGCCACCAAATTTCATTTCAAGCACTTCCTTGCGTTCGGCCTGACACATTGGCACTCTCTCTCCCAGAAGTACGGATATTTGTGCTGCTGCCTTACCTCTCACCAGCTCTAGATCCTCTTCTGGTTTTCCCAGCATGCCTGCTGCTTTCCCCCGAGCTTCTGCTTCTGTCCTGCCCACTACCCATAATCCATCGCTCTCCTCCTGCTGCAATGCAGATGAAAAGAAGTTGAAGTCGCATTGCAACTAGGACAGGAGGTGCCAGAGACTCAACCCTGCGAACCCCTTGCTACAGTGGCTGATACCCAGTCAAAGAGGCTAAAACTCACCTCTGATGCACCTGGTGATCCGGGAACCGTCACCCGATAGGCTGGAATCTGATGACCCCACCACAACTGGCGAGAAATACACCAGTCACTGAGCAGGGGAGAGGAGAAAATCAATCAAAATGATGCCATTTGGATTTCAAGAACACAAGGGCCACTTGCAAGATCAAATGAAGGTCCGTCTAGCTCTGCTTTCCCCAACATGGTGCCCTCCAGGTTTTGGACTACAACTCCCATCATTCCTAGCCATTAGCCAAGTTTGTGGAGGATGATGGGATTTGTGGTCCCCAAACCTTCTTTAACAACATTTATATAACGCTTGCTCAATAGAAGATCTCTGCGGCTGGATGGCATCAGGGTGGGCTAGTTAGATGCTTCTGGAATAATTATTCCCTTTATTTGTGGTGTTCAGGCTGTGAGCGCCTCTGCTTGCGTAGCCAAAACAGCACCTCCCATGTACAAGAGGGAAATTTCATAGAAGCATCTCTGTTAAGTCCCATCAAGTCCAATGGGGCTTACACCCAGGCGGCAGCGACCCATAACCAGTGTCGCCGCTTACTAAGAGGAAGAGGTGGCAATGAGGTTGGTGCAGTGCAAACACACTAGCGGGCGACAGGAGGTCAGGTAAGTGCTGCCAGCCCACCCCGACGGCCGTAGAATAGCAGCCAAAATCCCTCTTTATTACTTTAGCAACAGGAATGAATGAATGAATCTTTATTTGCATCAGCCATCGGCCATAGTAGTAAAACAACAATACAATATACAAAGAATATCTTATCTTACCTGGTATTCAAGAGCCAAGTCCTCCAGTTTTTCTCATGGAATTTAGGGGTCAACTTCAAGAATCCAGACTCCACAGCCTTAGGGAAGAAACAGATAAACCTGGTTAACTCAATTCAGGGCAAGCTGATACCTTGGGTGGAGAGGTGCGTCTTTCTATCTCTTAGAAACCAACGAGATGCCCCTGGGAAGCATGCAAGCAGGCGACGAGTCAAACCAAAACACTTCCCCACCCTTGGTTCTCTGGCGACTGAAGTTCAGATGAAGGTTGCCTCTGATTCTGCAAGTGGCATATAGCCATCATGACTAGTAATCGCCAGTAACTCAATGGGTGGAATTCAACATCACGTAATGTGATCATTCCATCAGAGCAAGCATTTCTGCTTGTCGGATGGACCAATCTCCCCTCTCCTCTCCCCATGAGCTGTTCTGGGGACTTTCCCAAACCCAAATAGCTGATTTAAGGAGGCATCGCAGAGGAGAAGGGGGCAAGTACTGTTGCGTTAGCGGGACTCTTTGTGCTGTCTCACACTGCCACAACTATTTAGTTAAACCCAATCCCCTCGTGTAAAGCCACAACACTATTGGTGGGCATCACTATATCTTGTAATGTATTTTTTTTCCCCTAGGTGCATCCTCTCTATTTTTTTTTTTATAAATATTTATTAGGGTTTAAAATACAAATAGATATAATAAACAATATAACATATGTCATGACATAATTTCACATCTTCTTTGGACTCCCTCACATCTCCCGCTCCCACTTTCATCGTTATGAATTTTTACCAGCAATTTATCATCTTGTTTACATTCTTATGTCCCATCTATTTATTTATAGTCTAGTAATTCTCCAAAAAGTTTATGTTTTCTCAATCTCACTTATCATCCTGAATCATCTAATTTAGTGGTGCTCAATTATTTATGATCTAGCATCCTGCTTAACATTCAATCAAATTACAGTATTTTTGTAGATAAATCTTGAATTTCTTCCAATCCTCTTCCATCCTCTCCTCTCCCAGGTCACGGATTCTGCCGGTCATCTCAGCCAGTTCCATATAGTCTATCAGTTGCATCTGCCATTCTTCCAGTGTGGGTAGATCTTGAGTTTTCCAGTGCTTCGCAAGAAGTATCCTTGCTGCTGTTGTTGCGTACATGAAAAGTGTCCGGTCCTTCTTTGCCACCCCTTGGCCGACAATACCCAAAAGAAAGGCCTCTGGTTTCTTTGTGAAGGTATACTTAAATACCTTTTTCAGTTCATTATAGATCATTTCCCAGAACGCCTTCACTTTAGGGCAGGTCCACCAGAGGTGAAAGAATGTTCCTTCACTCTCTTTACATTTCCAGCACTTATTATCAGACAGGTGGTATATTTTTGCAAGTTTGACTGGGGTCATATACCATCTATATATCATTTTCATTACATTTTCTTTCAAAGCATTGCATGCAGTAAAGTTCAGCCCAGTTCTCCACAACCTTTCCCAGTCCTCAAACATGATATTGTACCCAATGTCCTGCGCCCACCTTATCATAGCCGATTTAACCATTTCATCTTGTGTATTCCATTTTAACAGCAAGTTATACATTCTTGAAAGTACCTTAATCTTTGGTTCTAACAGTTCTGTTTCTAGTTTCGATTTCTCCACCTGGAACCCTAGTTTCTTATATCTTGTAATGTAGTGACAATGGGACACGCCGAGACCACATAACACCGGTCTTGAAAGACTTACATCAGCTCCCAGTAGCTTTCTGAGCACAATCCAAAGTGTTGGTGCTGACCTTTAAAGCCCTTAATGGCCTCAGCCCAGTATACCTGAAGGAGCGTCTCCACCCCCATTGTTCTACCCGGACACTGAGGTCCAGCGCCAAGGGCCTTCTGGCGGTTCCCTCCCTGCGAGAAGCCAAGTTACAGGGAACCAGGCAGAGGGTCATTTCAGTAGTGGCACCCGCTCTGTGAAATGCCCTCCCACCCAGATGTCAAAGAGATAAACAACTACCAGACTTTTAGAAGACTTCTGAAGGCAGCCCTGTTTAGGGAAGCTTTTAATGTTTAATAGGTTATTGTATTTTAATATTCTGTTGGAAGCCGCCCAGAGTGGCTGGGGAAACCCAGCCAGTTGGGTGGGGTATGTATGTATATATGAATGAATGAATGAATAAATAAAATTATATAGCAATTCTAAAGATCTCTGCAGTCTAACGCATGTGTCAGAGCTGCCCTAGGTCCCAGCTCACAAAGGACCAACGCCAGTTCGTTGTTATATAAAACAGTCTTTATTGAAGCTCAGTTTTGCTTCACAGCCGCGGCGCGCAGCCCTACGTCTGAAACTCTAGACCGCCGAAGCTCCGTCTGAATCTCCTCCCCCCAGACACCAGTTTAAGACTCTAGCCTTGCTCCACCTCTTCCTTTGCTCTTTCCTCCTCTGGGTCCGCCTGTCCGCTGGGGTCTTCCCCTTCCTAGACTCTTCTGACGCTGAGTCCCCTGAGTCTTCCCCCTGCCTCCGGCGGGCTTTAGGACCTGGTTCCCAATCCGGGTTTTCTGCTGTCCCGCGCGCCTGTACATTCGAACTTGGCGCGCGCGCCCAGCCAGTCACCTTCCTCCTGACCGTTACACTGCTCCTGTCACTGCTCCCCCCTTCGGGGAGGCTAGCTGGATCTGACCTCCCCTCCGTTCCCCCGCTCTCCGATAGAGGCGTGGTCAGCCCTGACTCATCTTCTCTCCCTGCTGGAGGAGACGCTGGCCCTGACACATGGGACTCTTCCCCCCCGCTACGCTCTGGTGGGGAAGCTGGTCCTGATCTCCCGCTGCTGCTTTGGGAGTCCCCGCTGGCCCCTTGCTTCTGGTGCGTCCCCCCTGGGACCCCCCTTGCCCTGACCATCGGCGCCCCCTTCTGGGAATCTTCTGATTCGCTGGAGAGGCTCATGGAATCTCTCGGGTCACTGTCATTCTGCCCTCCGCTGCCCTCAGATTCTTCCCCTTCGCTCTCCATTTCCTCTCTCCCCTGTGCCTCTGCTCCTGAGCCCCTGACAGCATGCATGCTCCCCTCCCTTATAGTTCCAGTCTTAGAATGTGGGCTGTATCAGATTATCCTAGCAATGTTAAAGCGTTTGGGAGTTACCTCCAAGGCCCACGAGCCATTTCTTCACATCGGGAAAGACACCACTGGTTTTTCAAGAGGGTTTCGATCAATCCCCAGCAAAGCGGCTAGGATGAAGGGTGGGAGGTGCTCGGGGCTTGGCTAGACGAAGAGTTTCCGTTTGGAGTGCTTCGCAAAGGGTTGCTTCGCAAGACTGTCTGCGAGTTCCCAGGGAGTACTTATCAGCACCTAAGCCGTGCAAAGCCTAAAATCCTCCAGCATCAACGGGATGTTGTGCTATTTAATCATCAGCGGCGTCTGGCATAAGGGTGGAGCATACCGCAATAATAATAATAATAATAAGCCACAGCCCCAAGGAGCAATACAATCTCAGTTTGTGTGCAGGACCAGAGGAGAGAGTGGAGCTCCTGGATGACTGCATTTTAAAAAATAATATTTATGATTTTCAGTTTTATACATTTCAAAATTTTACATTCATTTTAACATTTTAAAAACTCAACTTCCTTCCCCCTTTTTTTCTGCATATTTCAAATTGACTTAAATTTGCTCACTTATTCATCTACTTTAAATATATACGCTTATAAAACTGCAGGTTATTATCCTCCCAATGTTCTTATCTGTTTACAGTTGATTTTTAAATATTCAATAAGCCACTTCCATTCTTTTATTTAAAAAAGTTTGTTATCTTGATTTCTTTCTTCCCACCCCCACCCCCCAAACCCAGTAAGTTTTGCCATTTCTGCATATTCCACAGGTTTTTGTATCCATTCTTCTTTCGCTGGGACTTCTTTTTCCTTTTGGGAATTATAGGGACAGAACTACCCAAGACGTATAGAAGTTTATTCATGTATGCGACTACAATGGCAAAAATGTTACTTGCCACCCCTTCCCCCCAAAAACTGGATGGCTGCATTTGTTCCCCAGGGCCTGGGATACCCCCACCCCTAATGTACAGCACCCTGTTTCAGCAGGGCTTTAATCACCATCACAATACAGACAGCTAGATGAAACTGAAGGATGGCTGGGGAGGGGAGGGGAGAGGTATAAAAAATAATAATTCTACCATTACCTGCAAAGTGGAAGCACCATGGGATGCTCCTTGGCCCCCCGATGGAGTCCTCTCTCCTTCAAAGCAGACAACACCTTCTCACGGGCCAGGAATCTATGCAGCCCCTGAAAGGGGAACACCTTTCCTATCAGCCAGTGTCTTGTGCTAACTTTAAAAATTATACCGTATTTTTCCGTGTATAAGACGCCCCCATGCATAAGACGCTGCCTATTCTGGGGGACTCAAATTTAAGAAAATGGGAGAGGGGATGGCTCAGAGTTATTGAGCTTTTTAAGGGGGAGATGACACAGGGTTGTTGAGCTTTTTTAGAGGGGTTGCTGAAAATCTCCCCTCACTGGCAGAAGCTGCCAATCGCCCACCCAATTGCTGCAGCGTCAGCCAATCAACACCAGCCCTTGACACAGCAACCAATAACACGACCAAGAGCCGCTGACAGCAACCAATCAAATGTCCACCCTACACACTATTCATGTATAAGACGACCCACACTTTTAAGCATAATTTCAAAAGAAAAAAACCTAGTCTTATACACGGGAAAGTACAGTAATTAACGGTTTTATTACGACATAGGTTTTGCTGGGGTTCTTTATTCATGCGCATGGTGACTGGGAGTGGCCGCCAAGACCGTATAACACCGGTCCTGAAAGATCTTCATTGGCTCCCAGTATGTTTCCAAGCACAATTCAAAGTGTTGGTGCTGACTTTTAAGGCCCTAAACGGCCTCAGCCCAGTATACCTGAAGTAGTGCCTCCACCCCCATCATCCAGCCTGGACACCGAGGTCCAGCTCTGAGGGCCTTCTGGAGGTTCCCTCACTGCGAGAAGTGAGGTTACAGGGAACCAGACAGAGGGCCTTCTTGGTAGTGGCACCTGCCCTGTGGAACGCCCTCCCAGCAGAAGTCAAGGCAATAAACAACTGGCTTACCCTTAAAAAACAACTGAAGGTGGCCTTGTTTAGGGAAGTTTTTAATGTCTGACACTATATTATTTTTAATATTCAGTTGGAAGCCACCCAGAGTGGCTGGGGAAACCCAGCCAGATGGGTGGGATATAAATAATAATATATTTATTATTATTATTGACAGACCCCATCTAAGACATTTTGGTATTGGGGCATAAAATCCAAATGTCACCCCTCTCATGTAAGAAATCCATCCACATTGAAGAATCAAACAACTGCCTTCCAGTTAACAGTGCCTCTGAATCTGCCATCTTTGGCAAGCTACATCAGTTGGGTCAGCCCCAACGCGGAGGGATGTGGCGGCGACTGCAAATGGCTCTTGCTGCAGTCTTCCGAGCAACCGGAACCTTACATGGATGCCACCTTAAAAGGCCAAGCTTACCTGTAGCCAATGGCCACACTCGGCCGTCATCGTGCCATCTTCCGCAATAACCGAGATGAACGGCAGGCTGTGCCGCCGAGCCAGTTCGTAGTCGGCATGGCTGTGCGCTGGGGTCACCTTCACAGCCCCTGCAAAGGTGGCAAGAAAAAGTGAGAAGGGGCATCTCTGAGAACAGATGCCGGACGCCGCTGTTGGTATTCATCACACTGAATGGAGACTATCTCCCTCACTCTGGAGAATAGCAGAAAGTGCTATGTAAGCCATCTAGGCCAGAAAGACAGTCACAAGAGATGAGCTAACTCGTGTCTGTTTTAAAATTTGCACAAGACAACAGTTTGGGGAAACTTGCACAGGCTGGCAGCTTGGGCAAACAGGGGGTGGGGGTGGAGAGAGAGACTAGAAACGTTCTGCTTTTTGCCGCTTGAGGAAAGTTCTGCTTTTTTGCTTGAGTAATCCTGTAAGCTAAGGGAGCAGGTGGAGCTGTGGTCTAAACCACAGAGCCTAGGACTTGCTGATCAGAAGGTTGGCAGTTTGAATCCCCGTGACAAGGTGAGCTCCCGTTGCTCGGTCCCTGCTCCTGCCAACCTAGCAGTTTGAAAGCACGTCAAAGTGCAAGTAGATAAATAGGTACCGCTCTGGTGGGAAGGTAAACGGCGTTTCCATGCGCTGCTCTGGTTCGCCAGAAGCGGCCTAGTCATGCTGGCCACATGACCCGGAAGCTGTATGCCTGCTCCCTTGGCCAATAAAGCGAGATGAGCACCGCAACCCCAGAGTCGGTTACGACTGGACCTAATGGTCAGAGTCACTTTACCTTTTAATCCAGTAAGAAGTTGTTTGTTGCTCATTATAAATGGCAGCCCCCCAGCGAAAAATCGGTGCTCAGCATTTGAGAAACATCTCGCTGGACTCCAAGCAGCTAAATGAATTCTGACCTTCTTCGGAGAACCCGTGTCTGTCTTTATTGACTGCAACAACACAAACATCCAGCTTCCACAAAGCCGGCCTACCTGTGCCCATCTCCTGCTCCACAAAGGGGTCGGTAAGGACAGGAAGGATACGGCGGGTGAACGGGTGGCAGAGTCTCTTGCCGTGAAGGTGCTGGCAAAAAAACCCAGAAAGACAAACCAGGTCACACTGCGGTCAGCTCTCAAGAAAGAGAAAATTCAAAGGAGCTCCCCTTTGGTGGTGGTGGGAGAGTCCCACACATAAACTGTTCCAATATGCTACCAATAATACTTCCGGCCACCCCAGTGAGCAGGGCAGCTGCTTCACAGTAACTGATCCCTCCTGCCCAGTATTGCCTGATCTGCACACCCAGATTCATCGAAACATAGGAAGTTTCCTTCCACTGAATCTTCTCACTTAGTACTTAGACTGGCAGTGGCTCTCCAAGGTTTTAAAGCAAGAGTCTTTCCCAGCTCTATCTAGAGACACCAGGTACTGAACTTTGGACCTTCTCCATGCAGCGCAGTTGATCCACCTGCATTGCAGGGGGGTTGGACTAGATGACCCTCAGAGGGTCCCTTCCAATTTTACAATTCTGATTTTTTTTTAAAAAATTAATTTTTTAAAGAATGTTCCTTAACTTTAAATCATTTCTCATTTTTAAAACTTGAACCCCCCCCCCCCCCCGGTTTCCAAAATATTTCTATTCTTTCTGCTGCATCCAATTACATTTTTCCAAATTCCTTTTATATCCATTTTCAACTTACGCCTTGTTACATTTTAAGTGTTATAACCATCTTGCTAATGTTTTTAAATATCTACAGTGATCTTTAAAATACTCTATAAAATTTCCCCACTCTTCACTGAATTTCTCATCATCTTGGTGTCTGATCTTCACGGTCATTTTTGCCATTTCGGCATAATCCATCATCTTGGTTATCCAATCTTCCTTATGTTGGGACTTTTTCTTCCTATTTCTGGGCAAAACAATACTGTAATTCTATCACTCAGCTAGTGAGAGAGAGAGAGAGAGAGAGAGAGAGAGAGAGAGAGAGAGAGAGGCAGAGACGCACAGGCGTACAACCCAAGGTAGGTAGAGATTTTGTGGCACAACAGCATCAAAGCCAAATTGAGCCATGCAGCCCGAGTGGGAAACTGTTTTCATAGGAATGTTTGTTGACTCATAGGAAAATTTAGTCAGGTCTGCTGTCAATGATGGGTTACAGGATTATACAGCTCTCTATCCCACTCCATCTCTCTTGCTCTCTGTGTGCTATCCCATCTCTCTTTCTTTCTCTCTCCTCTGCACCTCATTTTTGTGGGCTGCATGAAATTAATCTGTCACAGGCTGCCCATGTCAGGTTTCACATCTAGTTCCCCCAAGGCCTCTGCCAACCAGTGGTACCTCGGGTTAAGAACTTAATTCGTTCTGGAGGTCCGTTCTTAACCTGAAACTGTTCTTAACCTGAGGTACCACTTTAGCTAATGGGGCCTCCCGCTGCCGCAGTGCAATTACTGTTCTCATCCTGAGGTAAAGTTCTTAACCCGAGATACTATTTCTGGGTTAGCGGAGTCTGTAACCTGAAGCGTCTGTAACCCGAGGTACCGCTGTACGCATTTCAAGCTGGGCCTTGCTATGCTTTGAGTCCAGGCATTCCCATTTGTCCTGCGCCCCTGACTAGTGACTACGGTTCCATGGCCCCATCGGAAGGGAGAACAGGGTGGAGAAGTCTTACTCTATACCGCGGGTCGTCCGGATGGACAGCGACCGCCACGTCTCCCAACATGGTCTCCGGACGGGTTGTGGCCACAGGAAGTTCCTCACCTGCCCTCAGTCAAAGGAAGCAGAGACCAGACGGGGGAAACAAAGGTGTTTTAGTCAGAAAGGTAGCGTTCCTGTGGGGCTCGTCAGCACACAAGATGGGGGGAAAAGGATGTAGCCATTTGAGGAGAATGGGATGTTCATTTATGCTGCCTTATTTACTTATTGGATTTCTTACACACCCTTTCACCATAAGGCCTCCTCCACCTTTAACCCAACTGAGCAAAATCTTGGCCTGCTATCTTACACTGCCCAATAGCCAAGCTGCATCTCTTCCCGTTAATTACCATATTTTTCGCTCTATAGGACGCACTTTTCCCCCTCCAAAAATGAAGGGGAAATGTGTGTGCATCCTATGGGGCGAATGCAGGCTTTCGCTGAAGCCTGGAGAGCAAGAGGGGCCGGTGCGCACCGACCCCTCTCGCTCTCCAGGCTTCAGGCAGCTATCCGCAAGCCTTCTGAGCATGGCGGGAGTTCCCACCGGGCTCCGAAGGCTTGCGGATAACTGCCTGTTTTGGGGGCTGGGGTTGGGGGAAGCTCGGGCTTCCCTCGTCCCAGCCCCGCAGCTAAAAACAAAGCCGCATGCAGCTTCTCCCAGCTGGAGAGGTTGCGCGTGGCTAAAGAGGAAGCCAAGACATCTGTCTTAGCTTCTTTGCTCTTTGGGGGGGGGCGAATTTCCCCCCCTAAAAACTAGGTGCGCCCTATGCTCCGGTGCACCCTATGGAGCGAAAAATACGGTAACAAAAGAGAACCAATTGATTGTAAGAGATTCTGTGGGTTTTTTTATCAATAGGTTGCCAACTGAAACATCCAAGAGTCCCATGAACTGACTTTCCCTGTAAAACACAGCTGGGAGGGTATCTTCCACGTCTATGAAAAGATAGTGTGTCTCAACCTGGACCCGACCGCATTCAACGCTGCAGACAAAGCCTTGGAACAGGGAGATATAGGTCCTTCGCATCTCTCAGCTGTGAAGCACAGTGATCTTGAACCAAAATCTCTCCGCTAACCTACCTTTCAGGGCTGTTGCAAGGTTAAAAAGCAGGAAGGCTCACCTCGCCCCCAGTGTGGCTACCTTGAGTTTCTTAGGAGGAAGGGCAGTTGCAAATGTGACGAGAGCCTTCCGTTTGTTTATATGTAACAGAAGCCTTGAAAGAGGCTAACATGATTGAAACAGATGGAAACTCAAAATCAAAACAGTAAAAATAGCAGTGAACATAGCTGACCTTAAACTGTCCCCATTCAAGTTCGTATCTAGGTTCATATCTGACGGGGCTTCCGATTGGCTGCAGGAGCTTCCTGCAGCCAATCAGAAGCCGCGCTTTGGTTTTTGAATGCTTTGGAAGGCGAACAGACTTCCGGAAAGGATTCCGTTCGACATTCAAAGATACACAACCAAACCAAACCATTCCAACACAAATCAAAAATAAAGATACAAAAATAAGCAACAGGAACGACATCTTGCCGCTGTTAACTCACCATCCTCTCCTTCCACTTTGTAGGCAAATGTCACCAAGACCCCAAACGGCACTTTGCCTTGAAGTCCGGGCACAGAGAGCTCCGTCCGTCCTTTGAGCTGCCTGTTGTCCACCTGACAGGGACACCATCCATGAGTCACCTCGGTCCTAAAGAGCACCCCCTTCTCCCAGCCACCGCGTGCCACCAGACTCCTCCCCACTCACCTCAATGTCAGAAACGGCCGATCGCAAGGCACATGACCAGTTCACGAGGCGCCTCTCCCGGTACACCAGGCCCTGCTCATGCAGTCGCACGAAGGCCTCGGTCACCGCTTGGGAGAAGCCCTAAGAAGGAAAGAGCTGTGGTAATGGTGGAAGGAGGCAAAGAAACAATGATGGCAGCTATAGCTAGTCTGTAGCAGCAGTGACGACGATGGAAGCCACAGTCTGCACCTTTTTCTGCATCAGCTTGCAAATTACTTGAAGTCCACGTAAATTTGCATTATTTTCGTCCACCATTTCCCCTTAGAACACACCTTTATTTATATTCAGATTTAATACAACAAAGTTAACGAAGCGGTAAAAGAAAAAGATATGTTGCTCTGGCAACTGTAACAGCATTCCTCATACAGTGGTACCTCAGGTTACGAACTTAATTCGTTCCAGAGGTCCATTCTTAACCTGAAACAGTTCTTAACCTGAGGTGTGCTTTCGCTAATGGGGCCTCCCGCTGTCGCCACGGCACGCGGTTTCTTTTCTCATCCTGGGGCAAAGTTCTTAACCCGAGGTACTACTTCCAGGTTAGCCGAGTTTGTAACCCAAAGTGTTTGTAACCTGAGGTGCCACTGTATTTACAATTGCAATTTCCAAAATGCTACCTATTTATATTATATCTTTCTCGTTTCACGTAGAGACAGTACAAAAGAAGCAGAACTTGATAGGGCAACCAAAGAAATCAACCACGGACTGACATTCCTATAACACACGTCGTTACATACAAACCACATTTGCATTTTCAGAATCTGCTACTCACAGAGTCCATGGTGAAACAGACTCTGTCCCAGTCCAATGAGGCTCCCATCACCTTCAGCTGCTGGAATATTTCGTTCCCTTTCCTGATCTCAGGAGAAAAAGCAGAACAAAAGCAAACCTTTTATGTACAGAGGTAAAAGGAAGAACAAGGAGGAGATTTTTCTGTTTGGTTGCCATGAAAGAAGCTAACAACAACAACAACAACAACTTATTATAACAACAACAACAACAATTTATTATTTATATCCCGCCCATCTGGCTGGGTTTCCCCAACCACTCTGGGCAGCTTCCAACTGAATATTAAAAACAATACAGCATCAGACATTTAAAAACTTCCCTAAACAGGGCCGCCTTCATTTAAGGCAAATGGTCTGAGTCCCTCGGATACTCACTCCTCTTTCCAGTTCCAGACCTCCTGGAGGAATTCCTCCCGCTTGAGATCTTTTCGGAGGACTCCCCTCTCCTTCCAGATCTTTCTTTCCACCACAGCCTGGGCAGACAACAGTAGAAAACAATGGGAATCTGAATGCAGCCCATGCAGGAAACTTGACTAGAACCCTACACTCTCATTCCATTTTTTTTTTTATAAAATTTTTATTGGTTTTACAAAGTTTTTAAAGCAACACAAACATATAAAAAGACATACAAACACGTATAATTTCATAACCTTTTTTTTCATAAACCTTGTTTCTCAGACTCCCCCATACCTCCCCTTTCTGCATCCCAATGTCCAAAGTTTTTTAGCAACTTCTAAATATTTCTGTCAAGCCTCTGTCATCTTAATCTTTCCTTCAGTCTACTCTTATATCACTGTAACCCTTTCTTTCTCAAAACCTCAACATTCTAACATTCATCGAGTTTATAGTAGTCCTTAAGATAAATTTTAAATTTCTTCCATTCTTCTTCCGCTGTCTCCTTCCCCTGATCGCGGATTCTGCCGGTCATCTCAGCCAGTGTCATATAGTCCATCACTTTCATCTGCCACTCTTCCAGAGTGGGTAGATCTTGTGTCTTCCAGTACTTTGCGATGAGTATTCTTGCTGCTGTCGTAGCATACATAAAGAAAATTCTATCTTTCTTTGACACCAATTGGCCGACAATGCCCAAGAGAAAGGCCTCTGGTTTTTTAGGAAAAGTACATTTAAGTACCTTTTTCATTTCATTGTATATCATATCCCAGAAAGCCTTAATCTTCGGGCACGTCCACCAAAGGTGATAGAAAGTACCTTCAATTTCTTTACATTTCCAACACTTATTGTCAGGCAGGTGATAAATTTTTGCTAGCTTGACTGGGGTCATGTACCACCTATAGATCATTTTCATGATATTTTCCTTTAAAGCATTACAGGCCGTAAATTTTATACCGGTATTCCACAACCATTCCCAGTCAGCAAACATAATGTTATGACCAATGTCCTGTGCCCACTTAATCATAGCCGATTTAACTGTTTCATCTTGCGTATTCCATTTCAGCAGCAAATTGTACATTCTTGACAAGTTCTTAGTATTGGGTTCTAACAATTCAGTTTCTAATTTTGATTTCTCCACCTGGAAGCCAATTTTCCTATCTTGTTTATAAACCTCCATTATTTGATAATAATGGAGCCAATCACGTACTTTATGTTTCATTTTCTCATGACTCTGTAATTTCAATTTGTCTCCATCTTGTTCCAAAATTTCCCAATACTTTGGCCATTCGGCCTCCATATTGGGCTTTTTGAATGCCTTAGCCTCCAAAGGTGACAACCATCTAGGGGTTTTATTTTCCAACAAATCTTTATATCTTATCCAGACATTATACAGTGCTTTTCTGACAATATGATTCTTAAAGGCCCTATGCACCTTAATTTTGTCATACCATAGATATGCATGCCAACCAAATGTATTATTGAAACCTTCCAAGTCCAAAATGTCTGTATTCTCGAGGAGCATCCAGTCCTTCAGCCAGCAAAACGCTGCTGCTTCATAATACAGCTTCAAGTCCGGCAGGGCAAATCCCCCTCTTTCTTTAGCATCTGTCAAAATTTTAAATTTAATTCTGGGCTTTTTGCCCTGCCAGACAAATTTCGAAATGTCTTTCTGCCACCTCTTGAAACCATCCATCTTGTCAAGGATTTGCAAAGTTTGAGCCTACACTCTCATTCCATCCCCCTCTAGGGCTACCATCCTAAGACAACGTGCTAGGAACCAAGTCCCATTAGGTAAAGTGGGACTTACTTCCGTGTCAGGAATGGGGAATCACGCGATAGGAGCGGTTCTTCTCACCTGAGTGGCAATGCCAGCATGATCGGACCCTGGAACCCACAGAACTTTATAGCCTTGCATTCTTTTCCTGCAAGACACCGAAAGACCACAGCGCAGAACTCAGGAACTGCCCTGCTGCTAAACACAGTGACCTGATGCCAGATCAGAACCAGCATCTCTAGAAATAGAATAGCTGCCCCCCCAAAAAAACAGCATAAAGAGGAAGCAGATCCCAAGGACAAAGCACAGGCTCTACAACGTAATAATAAAATAATAATAATAATAATTTTTTAAAAATAAAATTTTATTTATATCCCACCCTCCCCAGCCGAAGCCGGTCTCAGAGCCGCTAACAACAGTAAAAATAACACAGTTTACATAAAATCACAATCAATTAATTGAAATACATTCTAAAACCAGTTCATTCTAAAATCAATTCAGAATCAAATTAATGGCAACCATTGGGCTAGAGTTCTATGAGGAATGCCGAAGGAGGGGGTCAGGCTGTGCCTTGGCCAAAGGCCTGGTGGAACAGCTCTGTCTTGCAGGCCCTGCGGAAAGTCAAGTCCCGCAGGGCCCTAGTCTCTTGTGACAGAGCATTCCACCAGATCGGGGCCACTGCCGAAAAAGCCCTGGCTCTGGTCGAGGCCCGCCTAACCTCCTTGTGGCCAAGGTGTTTTTATTTGAAGACCGCCAGGTCCTCCATGGGACATACCAGGAGAGGTGGTCCCGTAGGTACGAGGGTCCTAGGCCACATAGGGCTTTAAACGTAGGTGGAGAACCTCAGGTTCGGGGGCCAAATTCAGCCCACCAGCCCTCTCTGCCTTGCCCTCAGTGGACTGCTGAGGCCACGCCATGCTCTGCAACATCCTCAAGCACTTTTGCCTTGCTGGAACATATCCCTGCTTTGTAATAATGCCTCCCCATTTCCTGGACGGAGACAGATGCCTATGGGGTGTGCCTGTCGAAACCTATGAATTTTGCACAGCTGGAACATAGCCTTCTGTACAAAAGTTAAGAATATTGGAAGAGTCCTAAGTTGGATCAGGCCAATGCCCCATCCACACTGTGACATTTGGTGGAGGAACAGAGAGTAATATACCACTTTAAACAGGCATGCCTTCCCCAAGAGAATTCTGGGAGCTGTAGTTCTGGAAGCCCTGTAAATCAGGCTGTGATACATTCAAGACTGTGGACCCCTCTCTCTAAACCAGTGGTTCTCAAAGGATGTGTCACGCCACACCCATGTGGCAGGGGAATGTGGCAAGTGTGGCGGGGAAGATTCAAGGATAATCGGAGAAACATCTAAACATTTCGGTGTAGTGCAGCTCAAGACAATATTTTATTGGCAGAATATATTTTCAAAGGGACAGCGAGAGCACCAACTGATGCTCTTATGACTCAAACACTGCTAGCAGTTGTTTCTTTTGTTTTCCAATGTATTTCTTATCAATGGAAAATTCAGCGTGGTGTCAGCAAATTTTTATTCTGAAAATGTGGTCTGGATAAAAGAAGTTTAGACTGCCCATTGGAACCAAGGAATCTGCCTTATATCTAAAGCACGGGCTCTTTTTCATGAGCTGCAGACCCCCCTCATGCATATTCGTATACCTGCTGCAAGCCACTCACCCTTATATCTTAAGGGGTTTGATGGCTATAAATCTAAAAATGAATACATGAGCGAGAAACACGAAGCTGCAGGGGAGCCATCGGCTGCTGGAGGCAAAGTACCCACCTGACCATGCAGAGCATCACTTACCAACGTACCAGAGCATCTTCAAGAGCCACGGTTAAGGCGTGGCCCAAGTGCAGGGACCCCGTGACGTTTGGCGGAGGGAGAGAGAGCGAAAACGTTTCTGGCTTCCGATGGGGCAGGAGGTGCTTTGGGAAAGAGAAACAGAAAGAGAGATCAGCAGCGTCCAAGGTCAGAACAGCCAGGTGGCTACTATACCATCAGGGTACCATGGCAGAACCGCTAATTTCAAGGTTTGGCAAAAAAAAGTAAGGGGAGACCTGCAGGCAAGGATCTAAAGCCCATCTAATCCCAGGATTGAGGAGGCTTTTGTGTGCAACTGAGTTAAACCTCGTGATGGATGAAAATAATCCAGAGTTAGTGCATTCCCAGCAGGTGTTGGAAGTCATTGCTTGACAGCTGTAAGTCATCGGCTCCACTCTGCATCAAGGTGTTTTTCATAGAATCATAGAGTTGGAAGAGACCACAAGGGCCATCGAGTCCAACCCCCTGCCAAGCAGGAAACACCATCAGAGCACTCCTGACATATGGTTGTCAAGCCTCTGCTTAAAGACCTCCAAAGTAGGAGACTCCACCACACTCCTTGGCAGCAAATTCCACTGTCAAACAGCTCTTACTGTCAGGAAGTTCTTCCTAATGTTTAGGTGGAATCTTCTTTCTTGTAGTTTGGATCCATTGCTCCGTGTCCGCTTCTCTGGAGCAGCAGAAAACAACCTTTCTCCCTCCTCTATGTGACATCCTTTTATATATTTGAACATGGCTATCATATCACCCCTTAACCTCCTCTTCTCCAGGCTAAACATGCCCAGCTCCCTTAGCCGTTCCTCATAAGGCATCGCTTCCAGGCCTTTGACCATTTTGGTTGCCCTCCTCTGGACACGTCCAGTTTTTCTTCACCTCTCCACCAAAACCTACTTTTCTGTTAACTTCAGCCCTTTCATTATTACATCTAGTACTCCTCTGGGGTCAACATTTCTGCCATTCAGCCATCTGTCAACTCTCAAGGTTCGCCTGTTTATGGCACAACCCACATAAAACCACTTGTTTACAGCATCAGCATCAATTTTTCTACCTGGTGCTCTGGTTTAAAAAATCCCTCCTTCACCCACCAGGAATACCAGGCAGCTTCAACATAGCGTGGGCTATATGAGACGGGCAGCGGTGCCGAGGTATCTGTGGGGAAGAACGCAACAGAGGGTACCGGTTATTAAAGCAAAAAAACCAATAATGCGTATTTCCATTAAATCCCAGAACTGGCATGTATAAAATGTACAAGGTGTGGAACCCAGCATTCTGAAACTGCCGGCTTCCCAACAGACAGATGCAGGAGGCTATGGAAAGGGCAAGGAGTTTTGTTCCCCCCACTGTTACCTTTCTTTTCTCCAGCTGCGGTTGGGATGTCGTACAGAACGGTGCTTTTCAAGGTTCGGCCCCTGGCTTGGCTTGGCGGCTGCTCCTGCAAAATACAGCAGAGACAAGATGTCTCCCAGGGCGGGGCTCATGCTTTTCCTCCGCAAGTCCTACTTGGAGATGCCGAGAATCAGGGTGGACTTGATTTAAATCAAATCGATTTAAATCACAATTTAAATCACTAGTCAGTAAGACTTGATTTAAATCATTTTTTTACAGAAATACTCATTCTTGCTGGCATAATCTTAATATTTACAACCAGATGAAGGTTTCATTTTTGGAATAATTAACTTGCACAATTATTACAACAAAGATCCCAAGACTTGTGGGGTATTCTGCTCACAAGGTTGCACTTTCATTTTCACGGCTTCACACTTAGCTACTTGTGCAGATCTATTCCATTCCAAACAATCTATTCATTGAACCTCTTGGAACTTAGCATTTAAGAGGTAAGGGGCTGATTCTGTGTATATAAATTTGCAAAAGAACAATGGGATTAAGGGTTTTCCCTCAGCTCTGTATGTTTATTTTATAGCATTTTTCCTTTGAAGAAAAGGCATGTTATCTCTGCAGACACAATTTCACACTTTTGAGAACTGCAAAAACAAGCCTCTGTGATAATATATTCTCATTAGAAAAACTGCCCCAAATAATCTTACAGAGACCCCTGGAAGAGCATGACATTGCGAATGGATTAATGGAATTCATTTACCAAAGAATTTAAACATTGCATATAAAACCACATGCTACATAATTAAAAACAAACCCTTATTTCCTGATGAATAGCCTTTGGACTATAATATAACTTAAATGGAAAACTATCTTTAGAAAGATTTTTCCTCCAAAAGCATTTTATTTTTAAAAATCCGATTTAAATTTTAAAAATCTGATTTAAATTTTAAAAATCCAATTTAAATTTTAAAAATCCGTTTTTAATTATTATTTTTTAAATATCATGACTTTTAACAATCCTGCTGAGGATTGAACCGGAGATCCTCAGCATTCAAACCAGATGCTCTCCCTCTGAGCAACGGCTCTTCCTCACTCGACTCTCCCCTATTAATTAATTAGCCAAAGTGGGAACATCCACGTCTCTGGTCCTCCAAGCACCGCCTCACCTGGGACCCAGCAAGCAGCCCAGCTTCAATGGCCTCCAGCCTCTCCCGCTGCCGTTTCTGTTTCTCTGCCTTATTTTTCAGGTGGGGCGTTTTCCCTGCTTGGCTATGGAGATCCGTCGGGTTTCCTTCAGGCTTCCTCGCTTGGGAGTAAGACCTCCAAACGCCAGGCGCCCCCCAGGGCCTCTTCTCAGCCCAGAGAAGCAGACGGCAGAGAGAACACAGGTGCCGGACAGGCCCAGCATTGTACTGGGGCAATGGCATGCTTGGAATTGGACGCACTCAGTTCTCAGGCATGGGAAGCACACCTCTCTCGCAGCTACCTGTCTCGCAGTGCCATAAGCTCTCTTTTCTCTCTTTCCATGGTGGGTAGGTGGAACCTGCAGAAAAGAAAATAATATAACAATAACAATTTATTATTTATACCCCGCCCATCTGGCTGGGCTTCCCCAGCCACTCTGGGCGGCTTCCAAAAAAAATATTAAAATACTGTACTACATCAAACATTGCTCTAAACCAAGCAAACTAAATGTTTACTGAATATATGGGGGGGGTGGAATCTGTACCTTTGAAAACATGGACAGCATCAAGATAAATTCAGCATTGTAAATAAGTTTTGGTGGATGTATTAATGTAATACTGAATGGTTTAGCTCACGGGTTTTCAACCTGATCCCTACCGCCCACTAGTGGGCGTTTCAGGATTCTAGGTGGGCAGTAATGGGTTCTATGGCCAGGGGTCCCCAAAGTAAGGCCCGCGGGCCGGATAAGGCCCAAGGGACTCGTTTATCTGGCCCACGGCGACCCCCGCCACCCGCTCTTACCGGCACTGCACTGTGCGGCTGCCCACTTCCGGGTCAGAGGAGCATCGGAAATAGCTTGTGCGCATGCGCAACCGTTATTTGCGCATGCGTTATTTGCGATGCACATCCGGGTAGGAGGAGGCCTGTGCACAAGCTATTTCTGGTGCTCCTCCAACCCGGAAGTGCACCAGAAATAGCGTGTGCACACGCATATGGGCACGCGCTCCCCTGCCCTCCGCGCGATCAGCGCTGGAGACACTGGCCCGAGGCACGGTAAGTTTGGTGACTTATGGCACAAGCTATAAGCACCGGTGGGCGGTAAGGAAATTTTACCATCAACAAAGATGCCTAACCCTCTCTCTCACCCAACTAGACAGAAATACAGTGGTGCCCCGCAAGACGAATGCCTCGCAAGACGGAAAACCCGCTAGACGAAAGGGTTTTCCGTTTTTGAGCTGCTTCGCAAGACATTTCCCCTATGGGCTTGCTTTGCAAGACGAAAACGTCTTGCGAGTGTTCCGATTTTATTTTGCTTTCCCCCCCTTTTTCTAAGCCGCTAATAGCCTTTTAGCCGCTAATCCACTAAGCCTTTAATAGCCGCTAAGCCTTTAATAGCCGCTAAACCGCTAATAGCGCTAAGCCGCTAAGCCGCTAATAGGGTTGCTTCACAAGACGAAAAAAACCGCTAGACGAAGAGACTCGCGGAACAGATTAATTTCGTCTTGCGAGGCACCACTGTATGACAATTTTCTGAAAAGTGCACTCTGCTCTCTGCCATCAGACAGACATCTGAGGACAACCCGGTATAGGGAAGTTTTTTATGTTTCAGATTTCCTTTTGGATGAAGACAGGGGCAAGGCAGGTACGGAGTAATTCTGCCTTCTCTTTGTCACCGAATAGCATTTCTCCATCCTCTCCACGCTGAGGACCTACACTAGTGGCCAAAATTCTGGAAACCTTTTGGGAAAAGTGTATTTCCGAGGATTGATGGCTCATAAGACCTGATTGGCTCTCTAAACACCCATGCTCACTGGCTACACTCAAATGAAGGAAAGCTATTGCATGCCAACCTAAGCAATTTGTGCTTCCCGTTTCTGGTTATTTGGCTATAACATTTGATAAAATACAGATAATTGAACAAACTTTGTTGCATTACATTCGTCATTAAATTATCTTCCCATTGATATATAGTTTTATGGTATTACTCCCCCCCCCAAAAAAAGTGGTGCTATCAAGTCATCAAACCTCAGAAATACCCTTTTTCCAAAAGGTTTCCACAATTTTGGCCACTAGTGTGCTTGTTCTTCCTCTTGTTTCAGACATAGCCAACACAATGAAATACAATATAATATTTGTTGCTGTTGTTTAGTCGTTTAGTCGTGTCCGACTCTTCGTGACCCCATGGACCAGAGCACGCCAGGCACTTCTGTCTTCACAATATAAGATACAGGTTTCCAAAAAACACACAAGAGCCTGGCCCTGGCCAGGGAAGGCGGGGTATAAATAAATAACTATTATTATTATTATTATTATTATTATTATTGAAATCTGCCATGGTCTTGAGCAATCCTTTAAGGACATTTGTTGCATTTTCCTTATTTGTGTCTTTTTAAACAGACTGCCACGTTCTTTTCACACGTTATGGCATTCGCAAGTCACTTTGAGACATTTTCTTGCGGAAAGCAAAAAAATAATAATAAGAAAATGCCGAAAATAGGAAACAGCCACGGTGCCAAAAAAAGCCAACAACTCTGCGCTTCAGAAAGAAAATGTCAACGACTCCGATCAGGTCAGAGATCGAAAGAGACATGTTTGCAATTCAGTTTCCTAAGAGACTCTTACCTTCAGAGGCCCCCGCTGCAAAAAGAGAGAAGGGGACGCGCGGCTTTTTTCTGCAGCCGGAGGAGAAAAGCAAGAAGCTCACACATACAGAGCGAGAGGCCGACCCCGACCTCTCTCTGGCGGGTTTCCTGTCTGTCTCGTGTGAAATGCATGACGGGAGCTTAGAGCCCTAGGAAGAGGAAGGGCTTTGCTGGGTTGTCTGAGCCGAGAGAAATCCGGAGGAGCTGAAGATCGGGAAAATGCATGCGAGGTGAGGACTGGGTCGAGGCTCGTGGAGAGAGCGCAGCGCTGCAGCTTTGGGAGCGCGTGCTCACAAGGAAGCCCCGTTGAATTCAATGGGACTTACTCTCCCGGGAGCGAGGTGAGGATTGCAGCCTAAGGGGACGTTGCAGAAAGGAAGAAGGGGTTCCTCGAGGCGGCGGAACTGTTTGGGAATTAGTTGTGGGACCGGGAAGTGCAAGCACGCATTGCCAAGAAATTGCAAAAGACTTTTTGCAAATGTCTTGCAACGATCGGTGCAATTCCTATCCAGGCTTTCAGGGTAAATCAGCACCCTTACAAGGCGGCTCTCAAGCAGTTAACTGCCTAGGAGGAGCTCCCGTTGGATTTAGTGAGACTTACTCCTGAGTAGACGTTGCACCTTCAGAACTTGGCTGAGGAGGATCGCAGCCCGTAGTGGAAGTAAGGGCAATTGAGGTCGGCGGGGAGGGGGAGGAGAGACTTCCTGATTAAAAATATGGAAGATTATTTTATTGCTTGAGCTGGTTCCCGCCTCAGGGTAAGGGCTTTGCATTTGTAAGATATTAAGCTTGCATATATTCATGCAGACATCTTGTTCTGTTCTTGTTTTATTTTTAAAAAAAGCAATAAAATTATTATTTTAAATGCATACACCTTATTTTTCAGATTATATATTATTTTAACCGATAAGTATTTATGTGTGTGTATGGAACATAATTCTGTATTCCACTTAATCATTAAAAAACCGCTAAGTAGTCACGTATTATTGTAACCTGATCTGGGACCTTTTTGGTTAACAGCGGGTAAGGGATCTGGAAAAAGAAGAATGAGCTTGCAGTGTTGTACAGGGGCAAAGATCTTGACCCTACTTGTGTCTATGTTCTGCATAGCAGGCCGGAGCTTTCGGCAGGGTGTTTCTTCTTCTAGAGACTCTTAATCTCAAGGTTGTGGGTTCGAGCCCCACATTGGGCAAAAGATCCCTGCATTGCAGGGGGTTGGACTAGATTAGGGAAGCTTTTAATGTTTAATAGGTTATTGTATTTTAATATTCTGTTGGAAGCCGCCCAGAGTGGCTGGGGAAACCCAGCCAGATGGGCGGGGTATAAATAAATAAATTATTATTATTATTATTATTATTATTATTGATTCTTGTGCTGACCTTTAAAGCCTTCTGGCGGTTCCGTCACTATGAGAAGCAAAATTACAGGGAACCAGGCAGAGGGCCTTCTCGGTAGTGGCGCCCACCCTGTGGAACGCCCTCCCATCAGATGTCAAATAAATAAACAACTATCTGACTTTTAAAAGACATCTGAAGGCAGCCCTGTTTAGGGAAGCTTTTAATATTTGATGAATATTTTAATATTTTGCTGGAAGCCATCCAGAGTGGCTGGGGAAACCCAGCCAGATGGGCGGGGTATAAATTGTTGTTGTTGTTATTATTATTATTATTATTATTAATGACTCTTGTGGTCTCTTCCCACCCTGCAATTCAATGATTTGCAATAGGGTGCTTACCTGTGCTGATAATAATTGGGTTCAGAATCCTCCCCCCCCCCCAAAAAAAAACCCTTTTAAAACTTCCTTCCTCCTGTAGATTACTATGGAGTCGGTGATGAAATTGCAGAGGGTACAGCTGAAATGCAAGAACCTTCATGAATTCCTGCGGGGCCTCAGCCCAGGCATCTTAGACCGGCTCTACAACCATCCTGCCACATGCCTAGCCGTCTTTCGGTGAGTGAGAACCCCCTTCCCAAATATTGGGGTGCTGGCCAGAGTGGGGAGGGTGGAATAAAAGAATCAGTTTACTTCCAAACTAGATTATTTACAGTTCAAGCTTAACCATGCATACTCAGTAGTAACTCCTGTTTATATGTGGCTTACTCCTGGGTAAGTGGAGTTAGGATTACAGCCTTAGGCTTGATCTTAACTGAATCACGAATCCTCGATTCTCTAAAGTTGCCTGCACTGGGTGAGAATCCTGTAAACAAGATGTGCAGATATTTTATTTTATTGTATGTGCATTCTGGTGTCTTGCTTAAATTGTGCTTTTAGTATTTAATTGCATCCATTCACAAGAACAGGAAAAGGCGAGTCTTTTTTTTAGTAGTATTATTCCAACAGGTTGTTGTTTTAGATGAGCCAGTCATTCCCGTGATTATATTTTGTATTGTTTTCTGGTATTTCATATTGCACATTGCCCTTGTTAGTTTATGCGAATGGGTGCTATATAAAAATCTTTTAATTACATAAATAAAATAAACAGTAGTATGTTTCCAAGTTTTTTAAAAAGTAGGTGCTTAAAATACTTGATTGGCGTCGCTTGTGAAAGCAGTTTCGCTAAACCGTCCACACATTGATCTGTGTGTTTTAAGCAATTTATTCCAGCTCAGCCTTCCCCAACTTGATGCCTTCTGTACGTTTTTGGACCATGGCAAATTGTCAGGAGGGATGGGAATTGTGGTCCAGCAACATCTCAAGGGCCAAAGGTTCCCCATCCCTACATCCTTCTGTGCAGGAGATGCTGTGGCTAATCTCCGACTCTCCAGATGTTGCTGCAGTTCCCGTCAGTTTTCCATCAGCACAGTCAAGGGCAAGGAAAATGGGAGCTGTTTTTCAGAAATGTCTGGAGGGCCTCGGATTAGCCACCCCCTGCGTTATGGTATATAAGTATTTTATAAAAGCTCCATCTGGTACGCAGGATGAGGCCCTACGTGCCCTTGGACTGTCTCGCAAGAGTAGTGCCTGCTCTGGTTATCTCCCGCTTGGACTACTGCAGTGAGCTCTACGTGGGGGCTACCTTTGAAGGTGACCCGGAAACTGCAACTACAGTGGTACCTCAGGTTACATACACTTCAGGTTACATACGCATCAGGTTACAGACTCCGCTAACCCAGAAATAGTACCTCGGGTTAAGAACTTTGCTTCAGGATGAGAACAGAAATCGTGATCCGGCAGCAGCGGGAGGCCCCATTAGCTAAAGTGGTGCTTCAGGTTAAGAACAGTTTCAGGTTAAGAACGGACCTCCGGAACGAATTAAGTACTTAACCCGAGGTACCACTGTAATCCAGAATGCGGCAGCTAGACTGGTGACTGAGAATGGCTGCCGAGACCACATAACACCGGTCCTGAAAGACCTACATTGGCTCCCAGTAAGTTTCCGAGCACAATTCAAAGTGTTGCTGCTGACCTTTAAAGCCCTAAACGGCCTCGGCCCAGTATACCTGAAGGAGCGTCTCCACCCCCATCTTTCAGCCCAGACACTGAGGTCCAGCACCGAGGGCCTTCTGGCGGTTCCCTCACTATGAGAAGCAAAATTACAGGGAACCAGGCAGAGGGCCTTCTTTGTAGTGGCGCCCACCCTGTGGAACGCCCGCCCATCACATGTCAAATAAATAAACAACTATCTGACTTTTAGAAGACATCTGAAGGCAGCCCTGTTTAGGGAAACTTTTAATATTTGATGAATATTTTAATATTTTGCTTGAAGCCACCCAGAGTGGCTGGGGAAACCCAGCCAGATGGGCGGGGTATAAATTATTATTATTTATTTTATTTTGTGTTCACAGCACTGTCCTGCATTTTTGTATTTTCAGAGAGCTGCCGGGGTTGGCCAAGAACTATGTCATGAGGATGCTTTTCCTGGAACAGCCCCTCCCTCAGGCCGCTGTGGCCTCATGGGTCAAGAAGGAATTCACCAAGTGAGTTGCTGGTTGTGACAGGACAGTTTGGAAGCAAAAGCTCGGGTTGTGTAGCAAAGTATCAGAACAGCAAGAGAAACCAAGCCTCTGTTCTGTGGGGCCTAGTGATTCATACACACACAGATGAGTTTCTGAGTATCTTCTAGTCCAATTCATATATTACATTCTTCGCTTCGACAAGGGAACAGCCTGGCTGATCCTTATCTTCCCCGGAGCCCGGTTTTGCACTCAGCTTAGATCACAATTGCTTCTTGCCTTTCAGGGAGCAGGATGAAAGCTCGGATGTCTTGCTGGGGCTGCGGCTCTGGCACACACAGCTTCTCCCTGGCGGCCTCCAAGGAATCGTCTTGAACCCCATCTTTAAGGAGAACCTGCGCATCGCTTTGCTGGGAGGGTAAGCGAGAGCCATGGAGAGAATTAGGAACCAAGGCAGAGGCTCAGTGCATTTAATGCAGTGAAGATAATCCCGTATGTGGCTGTGTTCACACACAACGCTAAACCATAGTTTGCTTTAACCTTGATTTGTTCAACAAGCCATGGATTGTTTCTTCCGCACTCGTGTTTGTTTTTAAGCTGCTCTTTCCTTGTATCTCTGTAGCATATGAGGTTCTGGGGTGGGGTGGGTTAACCAAGGTTGTTGGTTGAGGCATAACACCAAACAACAGTTGAAACAAGGCACAGTTTGCAAGCCAGCAACAAGCCATGGGCTCACCTTGTTTCTAGAAAACAAACTGTGGTTAATCAGCTGGGTTGGATTCAGATATTCAGACCAATCAGGTATTTGCAAAACAAACCATGGTTAGGTGTTAAGCGCAAACCAGGCCTCTGACCGATGTGCTTTAGTTGCATTACAATTAGGAATGCTTTCCTCAATAAACAGAGCAATGAAATAAAGAAAACTTCTTTTCTAACGGCCCCACACAGATACAGTGAGGTAACTTGCAAACCATGGGTTTTTCAGACACCTGCCTGCTCCTTGCATGTGAATTATTATTATTACTACTACTAACACATTTTTATGGTTTGCTTTAGCCATCGTTTAATGCTCACGCTGGCATTGGCACAGACATGGTTACGTCTAGTCCAGGGTTTCCCAAACGTGGGTCTCCAGCTGTTTTTGGACTACAACTCCCATCTTCCCTAGCTAGCAAGAACAGTGGATGATGGGAACTGTAG